TGTTGTCTTATTTTGTTTAAGACAAAGAATGGCAAATAGCAGTTCAGATAAGCTGCAGAGAAAAGTTCAGATTTTGATTTGAGTTAAACATTAAAATGTTAAAATGATTAAATTACTTAAGTACAGTGGTTCTACTATTAAACTGTAGAAATTGTCTAGGAGACTCCAAATAAGTCTTACAGTACTGTCACTAAAAGCTGCAGTATAAAAATCAACTTGAAATACTTTGAAACCTGGACATGACAGATCATGTTCATTTTAGGTCAGTGGGGAGATGCTGACCTCAAAATAAAGCTCCTGTGCTGCTGACAGCAAGGTTACCGAAGGATTGTGTGGTTGCCTTACTTACGTGGTAAGTTGCAACCACTATCATAAAAATTTAAGTTCAAATCAATGGGTGCAGCTTTTCTGGCAGTTGAACAGCTTAAAGTTGTGCATTGTAGAAAGTTTTAACAATGAAAACGCATTACAACACACACACAGCACAAAAACCACAGTATTATTCTTTGTACAATATTTAATATTGGAATATTTAACTCTGCTCCATCAGACAGTCACATTCACACACTTTTATCTAGTCATTCATTTAGTGGTATAATGCTTTACTGCTCAATGCACAGCATTACCAAAGCAGGATTTGCCCTTTTTTGCTGATCACTTTTCCAGTGTCTGACAACACTTTTTTGTTGAGATGTCATGTTACGGAATAAGACCCCTGTTGCATAAGACTGACACACACACATTAGTTGAATTCAATGGTGATTCACTGAAAAACACTAAAAGTAAAAAGACGTTTAATGATATTCAATACCCAGGCCTATTAAATGAAAGGTGAATAGCTCTTATGCAAGGCTGAAATTCTAGCCACAGTTTCTGTATTTTTGTACGAGGGAGAGAAGCAGAGGCACTATGACATACAAACATTGTGTAACAGGGTCGGTATGTGCTGCTTAAATTACCCAGGATTTTTTTTTAGGAATGTAGAGCACCAGATTGTTATCTTTCAGACCACAGTATTAGGGAATAGAGGATGTTTCTTTGCAATTCCCTGAGATAAGCTTGTTTTAATTGACTGAACTTCATCAATAAACTTCCACTGTTGTCTTGTTGCTTCTGTCTCACATCTGGTATACATTATACAGTATATCTTATCATATACATATAATGGGCCCATGAAACATAGGGGACCTGTCCCCATTTTCAGCAAAAAACATTAAATAAATAATAATACAATATTGAATATAAATTTTGAAGTCATTTTTTAGATTAAAGCATTTGTTGCAAGAATGGGAGGATTATGCAGCAGCAGAGCCTTGAATATTATTTGTATGTAACTGATTAGTTAAATCTGAATAAGATACATGCATATTTTGTCTGTCTTTGATATGCAATACATTATTATGTATAACCAGTCCACTAGAGTACTTTCTCCATTCAGTTTCTGCACTTATCTCTGCACACAGCATGGGATGGTCTTCCTTATTTGAGTCCACAGGGAGAACACATGGGTGTGTAGGCACAAAGAGGATCTTATACACCACTTTAATAACTTCCAACCTGCCAGGTTGGTTTTGTCTGTGCTGGCAGAAGCCTGTTATCAGTTAGACAGATTGTCAAGACAGACATCAAGTTTTCACACAATCTCCCATCAAACCTCCCTGCTATACTATCTCTCCTAAACATTGTGCATCAACCCTCACTGGTAGAATTAGATAGCGTCGCTGCCTACACAAACACTGACATACACACACACACAAACACACATGCACAGACAGATGAAATCAATGGCTCCCGTCCTCCACATCAGGAAATGTACAGTAGGTGGCCAATGGAGGAGTCCGCCTACTCACAGGATATTCAATTGCAAGCATGTGCAAATTCATCCTCTCTCTATCTCACTCATGTTCGCATCAACTACATTCACACACACACACACACACACACACACACACACACACACACACACACACACACACACACCTTTGGGGCAGCACTGCTTGTGTGTACACACCCACACATCTAGACCCAACATAGAAACAGACACACAAACACTCTGTCACATAAAAACACCTCATGGTTTGAGCCACACAAAAACACTGTAAAACCAGCTGGATTTATGAATGAACTGAGACTATAGAAAAATGAGTGCATTTCATTGAAAATGTGAATTAGATTACTCTTAAAAATTACATACAATTTTTGGGCCACATTCGCTTTACATTAGCCACTAATACTTTAAACTACTTCATTGATTGTGAGTTCATTTTCTAGTGTCATGAAGATAAGCAGTAAATATTTTACAGCTGATAGAGAAAAACTGGAACATATCAGGGGAATAAGAGGATTTGAATTAGCAGCGGTAGAAAGTAACAAGTACATCTACTCAAGTTTTGTACTTTTTTAAACCATTGTACCATTTATGTTACTTTCTAATTATATTCCACTATATTTCACTATTTTGTACTACATTTTTTTTTCAATCAACAAATAAATTATGATGTAGATTAAACTACCAGACAGTGTATAAATTAGTTGAAATTAGACCCATCTTTGCCAGCTGCAAAATTAAAGTGCATGACGTGTAACAGAGTATTTCTACACTGTGGTATTGCTACTTTTCCTTAAGTAAAAGATCTGAGTACTTGCTTCACCACAGGGTATTGGCATTCCTTATGAGATAAAAGTAGGCTACCATAAACCATTTACACTAAGTACAATATGAAGCAGCCATATCTGTGACCCTCTGGTGCTTCCACATCCTTTCAAAATGAGACAGAATCAGGTGAGAGGCATGCGAGTGACTGTGTAATGAACATGAAGGAGTGCAACTGGGGGAGGAGGACCAAGAATATTAACCTGAGAGCCTGAGTCCATCTGCTCCTCCAGGCCTCATGTTAGACATCACCATGAGAAATCCTCTCATTAAGAAAGCAAGAAACACATATATCAAACGCAGATACAGCTGTCAGTTTTCCTCTGGGGGATCTGGCTGTAGTAGCAGAACAGAAAATCTATGTGTTTTAGGGCCATACACTGTATAAACATGTATAGTCACAGTCTATCCTATAAGTGTGCTGCATAGGCTGCCTTTTAAGTTTCTCCGGTGGCACACTGTAGCAGCAGCTACACTGCCATTAAAACATTAAAATTATTAGCAGCGGATTCTTAGGAGAGATAGAAGATTGATGATTTTGAAGCCACTGTCTTACTCTGTTGGGAAAGGCCATCATTGAGTTAAAATTGTTTCATTACCTGAATTCTGAATTACAAATATTAGATTTTGTCATTGATCTTAATGTTTTCTGCACAATGTAAAACAGTGTTCTTTTTCATTCTGGTGATGTACATGTTACATAATGTCCCATTCATTTCTGCAAAGGCAATTTTTTAAGGTCATATGAATTTACTGTAACATCAGTGGTTAAAATCCTCTCATTATGGGAGACAGTAAGATGTGTAAGATTATTTGATTGTCTGCTAGGGATATAATAAATCACATTTGGTTTAAGTGTCCCTGGGGACTGTCTCTGAGAAGTGTGTGTTTGTGTCATAGGTTTGTGTGTGCTTTTTAATGGACTGACTGTCACACAGAAGAATACCTCTGAAACAGATGGTTACCTGAGTGGGAAAGGTCAGTGACAATCTTTCCTGCTCTTTTCTTTGCCCTTGTGCCATGTAGTTTTTTTTTTGTTGTTTTGAAGGAGGGACGTTGGCAGTTACCACTCAGTAGTGCAGACAAAAACACTTAAGCTTGTTGCTGGAACAGGAGGTGGGGGAAAGCCTGACACTGATGGTGTGAGATCAGGGAAATTGGACCATGATTGGTTGTGAGACGTCAGGCTGACAGAGTGTACATCATCAGTGGGACCTTTTTGGTAGTGATGAATTGCTGACTGACTTATTGTTATTACAGGCGATGAAACCTGCCATAGTGGGGTCACCTGTAAACTTGGAGCCTGATGGAATGGGTAGTTGTGAATACAGTCAGAAGTGACATTTTCATTTGCTTCCACCTTTGTTTGCAACAAATAGAAACATTTTAAAATTAATTGAAAACATGCAAGGATCTCTGTTTTACAAGATATTTTGTCCTGCAATGTTCCTGTCAAATTAATTATTCATGGGAGATATATTTAATTTTTAATAGCATGTACTGTTGGGGCCACACTTTACTTACATTTCACCTTTATTAATGCCAATTAGTGAGACAACCTTACTGCATCCAATCCAAGTCCTGCAGGGCAGAAACTGTCTTGCTAATTGTAATTAATAAAGCCACAGCGAGTGCACAGTCTTAGCCCAGCCACTTGGTTTAATGTGCTAACACATAAAACTAGATTTGGCAGATTCCTATTGTATCTAAAAAGCCTGATACTAGGTAGCCTTATGAGCTCAGTGCACTGCAGCTTAAGAAAACATGAAAATAGACAAAACACAAATTCAGAAAACATCTTCTTCAATTTGACAACACGTGCTGGAAATACTCACAACCACAACCAAATACACAAACTATGTGCACACAAACACACATATGCATACATCAGTAAATCTATTAAAAAAAAATTAAACAAATGCATTAAATACACAATAAAATGTATATTTTCAGCATATGCATTGTGAGTATCTTTAAGTGAGGAGTTATTTACAATAGTAGTATTTACAATACACCACCATGTCAATATTTTAGAAACACTATGAACTAACTGAAAGACCTATTATATGAATGGCTTATACAACTTACAAATTTAGCATTATATCATAGATAGATTGAGTTGATATGACTAAAATAACCTGATACTGCTGCAGTGGGTTTCTGAGAGATGCATTAGTTCCCGCCCCACACTAATTGCTGCAGGTGTGTCGCTGATTGTTGCGGTGGCAGTGAAAGGCTACAAGCTGCAGACACACACACACACACATCCCTGTTCATACACTTTACCTGTCTATTTTTGCCTCACGTGACTTATGATTTGGTTGCACTCATGTCACTGTGAAGAAAAATGTATACAACACTTAACCTATCAACTTCTGACAACTCCAACTCGTCAGGTGTTGACCCTCTGAGACTGCAGGAGCTGGCTCACCGGTCCGTCAAAGTAAGCATAATAATCGTTTTGGGCGTGATGATCACTTTGGGGAATGTTGCAGTACTCCTGGTTATTTCTTCATCCGTGGCTGGTTGGACAAGAAACTCTCGGTACTTTCTCCTTTCTCTTACTGCTGCAGACTCTGCGTTTGGACTGCTGATCATGCCCTTGAATCTCTGGGTGAGTCTGCTAAAGGACTACACTGAAGGGCCAGATGCTCTTTGTCATGTCGTGGCCTTTTTTAATGCCACGGTTTACTCCACCTGCATGTATACACTGGCTACAATAAGCCTGGAGAGGTACATCGCAGTGTTTTACCCGCTGCAATATTCCTCTCTGATGACAAGAAAAAGGACTCTGCTCCTGATTGCATTTGCCTGGTGCTTCCCTCCCTTTTTACTTTCGCCAATATCATTTCCAGATGGCATTATCGAGGTTCATTTTTCTACTGCATCACTGGTCTGCAATCCATCCTACTCTACAAATGTTGGATACTCCCTTAGTTTGACGTGTTTTATATTTTTCCCCTGCTCCATCATCATGACATACGCAAACCTGAGAGTGTGGTGCGCTGCCAAGAGGCAGAGACTAAAACTGCGCAAATACGACTGTGCGCGTCGCAGAAGACACAATGTGGCATCCAGAGTGCTTGTGCCAGTGATGGCAGCCTACTACACCTGCTGGACACCCTGCATGGCAGCTATGATCTACAATGGTAAGTAGTACCAATGGGAATAAATAAAAGAAAGTGCTTTGAGGGAGAGCTAAAAAGGCATGAAAGGGCCTGTCATTTATAGGTTGTTTTGAATAAAGAGATGAATGGAAATTTGGGCCCAGCTTGCACATTTACTACATCTTGTTTCATGTTTGCTACATTTACTCAAAACAAAAACAAAGGTGTTCACAGGTGCATATCATGATCCAAACCTACAAAACATGCATATAAGAAAAGAAAAAGTTATTCATTCAAAAGGACAAAAAGTGGACATGTGTGTGTTGTGCATAGCCAGGTTTTTTCATCATACAAGGTAGTTTAGGATTTTAGATCTAAAGCTTCTGATGTGGACTCAATGACTGAAGAAGTGTTAAATTACTGGCTGCTGTTTTGGGAGACGTTTTAAATCTGTGGAAATGGAAAACATAAGTCAAAGTTCAACCAGGGGTTTATTGAGATTGCAATATATGTTGCTTAAGTCAATTTTTTGGTTTCAAAGGTAGCAAGAGAACTCAAAAGTAGGTGTTTGAAGATTAAGATTAATTTGCTTAAGAAATGTTAATTTTAATGTATTCAAGTCCTTCCATCAATTTCAGATGCGACTGTGCTGAGAGAAATAGCTGTCAAAGTTATTTATACTGCCAGGCATGAATATACTGATTTGAAGAGCAGTTTTGTGACTCAGACATTTTTTTTCTCATTTACCCCAACCATGTGCTGTCTTGGAGAAATCAAGACTGAAAGTTGTGTCAAAGCTGAATATTTTTGGAAGTGAAGACCTTTTCCAAAGAGGGCTGTAATTCATCTGATATGGATGAAAATCCCTGCAAAATGAAGCTGACAGTCTTAACTTCAGCTTCAAAGTGTGATACTGTCCGACACGACACTCTAAAATGCTTGCTTCCACTCCATCAAATCTATCAGTTAGTTGTGTACTTTTAGATCTAGACAATAAATGTTAAGTTGATATTATTGCCCTCAGGAGAAAGATTCACATCTCCGAGTATGATCATAGACCAGCCATAGCTAGACTTGTTTGTTTTGTTTGTGACCTTTTAATTAAAAAGGTCAACAAAAGGTGAACCACTTTTGTTGTTCTGCTGTATTGCTTTAACTCTGTTGTTGTCATGCTGTGGATATCTGACTTACATCAGTCCCTGTGTTTTCTGCTCCACAGCAGTCTCAGGTAGCAGCGTACCAGAGTGGATTGAGTTTGTGGTGGTATGGCTGCCAACCTCAAATGGTTTTCTCAACTGTATCTTCTACTTCTGGATAAACCGAAACTTCCGCAGGAAATTCCACCACGTCCTCCAGAGGTGGACTCAGGCCCTTTGCCCCAAACTGGCTGACACCCTTGGGTTCTGCGGTACTTCAAAGACACAGTTTGTGTCAGGAATTCTGGACAATAACAACACTGTCCATGAGCGCTCTTCCAGTGTATCCTCCACATGCACCTTGTTGACCTTAGCTTAGGATGTCTGTGCTTGAAGAGCACCGCTCATGCACACAGTGTTGCCAAAATTTGATGTATTGTCAGAGACTGCCTCTTAAACCATCTTTTAGTTGTTTTATAGTTAGCCATCAACTTTTTCTGTGCCCCAGAAATGCCTACCAGTATTCTGCCTACAGCTGCATAATCAGTCTTTTAGTAGTGTAACCCGTGCTGTATTAAGACTTGTGGCTTAGGTCACCATATTTCACTTCAAACATTTGAGGTCAGTCTATTAGTTCATCACAAGAAACTGATATTTAGGCTTATATTCCTATGAGACATTTGTAAAGTAACATCACTATCTGATTACAAGCACTTTGAAGAATTGAGGCAATCTATCTCTTCTTCGGTTTACACTGTGTGTTGAAGACCTTGGCATATAACAGCTAGGAGAAGTTAACCTTTAAGTCACGTCATTTCAGTGTATGCAAGGGGAAAAGTAATTAAGCAGCTACACTGTAGAAAGGTCACCACATTTGTGCCGGCAAAAGATAACTGGGGTAACTTCTGAGGCTGTGGTTGTTTGTTTAGAGATATTAAGTCCATGATATTGCTCTCAGTATCGTCTACTACAGTATGGATTCAACATGGCAATGCCCATGTCATCTTTGTCTGAATAAAGCTTCCTGTCATGGTGACAGTTTGTTTAGATTTAAAGTTGATCAGGAGTATAGTTTTCCAGAAACATCCAAAAGAAATAGAAATTCAAAACAGTTTTTTATGCAAGTTATTTTAGACTTTAGGTTGCTGCCTGGTGTCACAATCATTAAAGCCTGAGCATTGCCTTTGTCAGAGGCTTGCAGACGAAATGCAAATTATTAAGTAATATTATGTGAGGAAAATGACTGACTTAATAATGAATTTTCTATATATACATTTTGTTATGTTTCTGAGTCCCTAATATTATAAAGAATGAACAAATGTTTGATAATGTATTGGTTTATGAATGTACGGAATAAAGCATTATGCCTTTGAATCATGTCTTCATTGAGTTCAATATTTACAAATGTATCATTAGTAAAAAAAGAATAGCAATTATTTCATCACAGAATTGTAAAGAAGTTGAAGTGAAAAGTGTTTATTGATCTATCTGTATCATAATTTTCATCGACATGCATGTTCTGCTGCACATACTGGATATCTCCAAAACCTGGGGCCAGATCTATAGTAGAACTACAAAAAATAAATCCTAGGTATGAGTACATGATGTTGATTTGTTTTTCTGATTAATAGATTATTTTGTTGTCATTTGTTGAAATGGAAGTGAAATGCACACTTCCCTGTATTTCATTCATCCATTTTGTCCTGCAGAAAGAAGAATTTCAATTGCCAATATATTATTCTTATATAAATAAACAGCATACAGTCTCAGAGATTAGATGACCTACACATTTCTTTCTTTCTTGTCTATTTAGGATTGTGCAGCTGGTACAGTTCATAATTCCAAAAGATGACTATTTTGCTATGATCAAAAATCGTATGTGTGGTGTGGTTGGTGGCCGTTATATGAGCTGGAGGAATGTTTTCCAAGGAGTCTCTTGCTTTTGATATGGAGTGTAACCAAGTAAAAAAGAAAGCTCTATCTGTAAGTTAGTTTATGCACAAAAATTTGACTTGTCATTGGATTTGGATCATGTTTGCACTCACTGTCCAGTTTCTTCGATTGTGCTGTATATCTGATGCAATATCTTATGATGAATAATTTGAATTTCATTATGCTAATTACTACCTACTAGTTCCATGTTAGATAACAGATTGAGCCAGAGGTATAGAATTAAAGAACATTATTGAAAATATCATCAGAGGATAGTGCTTCTGCATAATGGATGGGTACATATTTGATTTGCTTGTGTGCCTGGTGTTGTTTCTACCAAAGGATAAACAACAACAGAACAACAGGTCTGTATATATATATATATATATATATGGTTTGCAAACTAGCAATGACATTTTGGCATGAAGCAGTAATCTCATAGACCATACAGTATTCAACAACTTCTCTGATTTAAATTTAAAATTTTATAGCTTTTCACTTGACATTATTTGCAAGAAAACTTGTAATATATATAAATGTAAATAGTATAAATAATATTGATATGGTATAATGCAAAGACTAAGAATCATGTGCATGACAGGACTTGACAGGAAAGAAAATCTGACTTTATTTCTTGAGTGGATTTAATACTTTAATGGGTGTAAGTCCTTCAGAATAAAGTAAAGCCGGTAATGTTTTTATTGTGAGAGGTGAGGGTTTTAAGTAAACCTTTTAGGCAGTTGTCAAAGCAACAAAATCCACCTGGGATTTTCTCCGCAGAAAATCTGACACTGGTTCTGTAGATTCTGTGACTGTATCTCTGCTACTATAGTGTCCACACATGCCTGAAAACAAAAAAAGATTCTTATTTCTTAACATTATCCCATATAAAAAAAACACTTCATACACATTCCATGAACAGGAGATCTTTTCAGCCATCTCAAACCACAGAGGTCAGAGTTTATTCCTGCTGGATCCACATGTGTTTTTCCAGCCGTTTGAGATTTTTGCAGAGCAGGTCTCCCAGGACACTGGAGTGCTGTGCATTAGCAGCCTCAGCTCTCCTTGAGGATGACTGCTGATAGATATGACAAGCCATTCAGTCATGGTGAATGATGTCTATCTGAGGGGTTTCATATACTCCCACAGATACAATATGCTGTCTCATAAGAGCTCATTATTCTGTCTGGTCATAATTGCTGCCACAGCAGGCAGACATGGATGTAAAATGGCCAGTGGCTTTAATGCTCTTTGGATCAAAAACTGAGAAAAAGTCTTTTGGTGTAAAATACTGTAACTCATGAACAGTACGTAACAAACTAGTACAAAGCTGTTTCAGATTCAGGTGGAAAAAACAGTCTAGGCATTTGCAAAACCAGTCTCATGTCAGTTTTGTCACTGAATTGTCTTTAGATATTATTTTAAACCATCTCACTGCACATGGTCTTTATCAGTATCACACTATCACAGTAACAATGTGGCAGGTTTTTGTTTTTCACCATTGCATAATGTCTGTCCCACCATGTGTGACAGAATTGTGTTTATTGTGTTTACTGCTGTTCCATGCCCATGAAAACCTGGAGATAACTCCTCTGATTTGTGTGATAAATATCACAGAGTAGGTGCAGCAGTCAGATTAGCCATTTTAATATACTGTACATTTTCCTTTTTTTCTGGTAAAGGCCAAATTTAACAACTGACGTATCAACATATTTAGGTTGTAGTGCCACCTTGTGTTTATACTAAGTATGGCATGGCAAAAAGGACGAGACCTTTTAAACTGCAATTTATGATAATTTCTGTCCGGTTGTGTTGGTGTTCGATAGAATAAATTGCTGTCATTTTATAGTATTGAGTGTATATTGATTTTGTTATGATTATGGTTGCTCCATGTTGTTTGTTGGTTGCTAAAATTGTAGTGTCGATGTACATTTAACAAACCCAATACACATAGTAAATGTAGTATTGGAGTCTTTTTTCAAATAATCTAAATTTCTTTATTCCTTTTGAGCAATTTATCATTTTATGTAACAAGAGGGCATCTGGTTCTCGAAATGTCCCACCTGATTAAAAAGGATGAATCAATGGGTGTTGATTTGTGCTTTCTCTGGTTTGCTGGTCATGGGCACTCTGCACTGTGAGGGCTCTTATGGAGGTTGCAGATGGAAAGGCTTTAATTTCAATCACTGTTTCCTGCTCCTCTCCACGGGATAAATAGCTGAGGGGAACAGGCATATGCAGGATTCGAGTATTATTCAGTTTGTGCCAGTATTGCACTATAAAATGGTTACCTAAGAAAAACAAATCAGAGTATAAGTACATAACCACATTACCAGCTACCTAAATGCAATTTTTTTGTTCATTGAATCACACTGGCACAATGATTACATTTTTAACTGACGGACAGGAGAATATGGAGATTATTCAATCATCTTGTTCTCTGCCAATCACCTCCCTCTAAAGCATGAAAAGTGGATGACATACATTTGTTGCCTACCACAATGTGTTACCACAGTGTTAGGCAATTAGTTTCAATGCAATTTTTTAAGTATACATGAACATCCATCTCAGTTACTGTGGCCAGGAGCATGAACACAGAGTGAAATTAAACCCAGCTGTTAAATTTTTCATATATTTTTTCCTTTCAAATTAGCACAGCACTGTCATGACACACTATCCATTATTGGGTTCATGAATTTTTAAAGGAAAAGGAGAACTACGTGATGGTGGTTATTTACTAATACAAATACTTTGTCATTCTTGTCATAATTGTCTGAGACAGACCCAGCAGTATAAAGCCAACAGTGATGACCACATAGGATATGATGCTGTAACACAAGAGCAGCAGCTACATTCATTATAGCTGCTTCATTCTAATGGCAAAATGATGAATGTGTGAGTGGCTTTGTCTTTTGGGCTGCTGCCATTTAAGGCGTCAACTGAAGTGGACCGCCAGACTGCTCAACACCAGCAGTTGTTGCCCCAACCACCCTGCACTTGTTTTTGCATGTTAAACTTATGAATGGCCTCAACATAAATTGAGGTCAGACCTTTGGCTTGAAAGAGCCTTCTGCTCAGCTCAGAAGCTGATTTCCAGTAATTACCCATGTATCAAGACCAGACATTATAGTTTGTCTGTTTATGAACAAATAATAAAATTGTTTTAAACTATATATTGGTTTGCCAGGGATTTTGAATTCATTTTTTCTTAAAAGTACAGTATTTCATTCTGGCATTCAAGTGACAGATGTTTTAAGGGCCTTGACTGTGATAATTTATTTGATTGATTGTTGTTTCATTTTTCTGCATATAAGTTCAGCTCCGATACTTGCTTCAGCCTTGCGTAAGACTGTTTATATAAAGTACAGTGTTGGATCTACACAAACAGGTTTTATTGCTCTGAACACAGAGCATTTAATTTTTTTTATGGTTTCTGTTTGTATGTTTTGTTGTATTTGTCTGACAATTGCCAAAGGCAAGGAATAAATTACCAAAAGGACAGTTAACTAACTGAAATGATAGGCTCCCAGGTTATTTGCACTGTATATCAATGACTAGTCACTTATACATTTTGAAAGATTAATTTTATTCAAAGAGACTTTTAATGACAGCAAATGGCAGTTGAAATGCAAAGAAATGGCGAAGATTTATAGTCAACTAACTAAATTTTGACATCCGCAAGTAATATTGCAGTCACATGTAAAAATAGCAGCTTTTATGAATTGACAGGTGATGTATATATACGGGTTTTGTAGCTGAAAAATGTTGTCAATAGTAATATGAAATAATTTTTCTATTTCATAATATTCAATAGACAGTGATTTTAGAAATGCTACGCAAAGCTTACCTAAACCAAAACATATTAATCATTGCCAAAATCCTAAGAGAAACCTAGAAAATTTAAAAAGGCTATGTAACTAAAAGAGATTATTAAATATGTGTAGTAACCAACTGTGGCCTGAAGACACTCAACTATGGCTCTAATGACAACTGGCAAGTCTCCCAGTTTAACAGCCAAACAAGAAACACACACCAGTTGTCGTTGCCATTCTCTCGAAACAGTCAATTAAGATGCATTGGAATTAATTAAAATGAAACAAAATTGTGAAAAAACATCAGTTAAATAACAAATGGCATAGTGAGAAACAATCAATTTTTTAAACAGAACAAATTAAATAACATACTTTTTTTTCCCATGGGTATTCACTCAGTGATTCACTGCCAGCTATTATATCTGGGTAATAAAATATTATTGTATTATTACATACTACATAAATTTATATTAATCTATGGATCAGGTGTTTTGAACATTTACACAATTGCCTGATAACACAGCTGTAGAAAAAAGAGAGATAAGTCAGAACACATTCTACCTTAAATAATCACTGATTAAATATAATTCACCATTATTTTCAAAATGGAACAGACACAAAGATTTGACACTGCATTTACAAAATTGGAAATATTCTGTGTTTACAACCAAATGATAAATGCAATCAATCAGTTTAACACCAGAACTTTGCTGGGAGGAGTGAATGGAATAAACTCACAATTCCTATTGAGAGTTAGGTACCAGTAACATTTCTGACTTTATTAAAACTAAGAAAATGCATTGGAAGTCATAATTCAGTGTTGAAAGTTTAATGGTCACTATTAACTATTTCATCACCATTCTGCATACTCAACATCTCCTTAAATATTTCAATCTTGGGTGTCTGTGTGATGATGATGCATGTTCACCAGGCTGTTAACAAAACCTTTATCTGAGCAGGCAAATGGGTAATGACCATACAGAGACCAAACTGGGTCAAATGCATATGAAAGTTTAAGTTTAAGACAACATTTAACATAGATGACAACAGGCATAGCAACAGTAAAATACGAAGAAACTGAAGGCAGACAATTTAATAAAGTCTCCGCCCAACTGTCTATTTGGTGCACTCTATGTAGACGGACAAGGACAAAAGTACTTTATCAAACTGTTCCCCTCCTTTTCTTGTTGCAGAGGATGCAGACACTCCTAATCGTGTGCACTCAGTGTGAGGAGGTTTTGGTCAAACATTTCAAGGCCTCCAGATGAAAAGAATGAGATGGAAACAGGATGCCAGCACTCAAGAGGACTTGTGTTCAAACACGTAGTAGCGATACATGATACCAACAACAGCTGCAGCAATAGCAGGTATCAACCACATGGTCCAGGAGCTGAAAAAAATTAATAAAAAAATAAATCACATAAATTTTTCTAGCCAGTGCAATTAAAAAAGGACAATACAATCACATAACAATAACAAAATGATAAAGATATTTAATATATGATTTAAAAATATAATATTTAATACAGTTATGTCACTGCTTTTTTATTTGTGAATTTAGCAGTGTTTATATTGATAATTTAAAAGAAATCTGCGACAAAAACATATTTAATCATTTGCAGAGAAAAAATTAGTTTTTTATACACATACAGCAAATCATTAACAATTTTCTATTTCAAGAAACTTTTTCTGAGCTGTCAATACTGAAAGAGGACTTTGTTCACTACAAACTGCAGTGACCAATGTCCAAGATACTTAACTTTTTGGTACATATGAACACAAATGTGAAAACTATAAACAATGAGCCTGACACACGATGTTCATGATGATGACTCACCTGTACTCTCCTGAATTTGTGACATGGACGTCGTCCTGCAGAAAAAAAAGAAAAAAGACACAAACTAAAAATTGATATTGTGTGATTTAGACACAAACCAGACACTTTACAACACAGACACATCTTTACAAATCATTGATTTTTCTATTGTAGTTAAGACAAAATCAGACAAAAAGACAATGGAGCTCACCTTTGTGTTCTCTTTTTTCCTGTCATCCTACAAAGAAATTGAAGACATTAGTATACAAGTTAAGTCTGTTTCTCAGGTAGTCCGTAGTTGATCAAAACTCAAATGTATTCATGTGTGTTACCAGGTTAATATTCATTATATGAATTCTAAACCTGGACTATGAAGCATGTACAAACAACAACCATTCCTCTTGTTGATAATCACATCATGATCATTGACACATGTTTTCATTCAGCAATCATGATTTGAGAAAAACGGGACTGGTTAAAGAACCAGAAAGCTGATAATCATAAAAATCATGCAATCCTTTGTGGAAGGTTGTATCCACTGGATTGAAAATGATGAGTTGAATGTTTTGTGTGGTGTGTTGCCAGTTCCAATCAAAGGCTGAGAAGAAAAACTTATTGGAAAGATTTCAGTAATAGAAATCAGTCCCTAGAAAACCAGAGCAATAATCATCAGAACAAGAGGAAAGCAGGGACAAATTCAATCTTCAACAGTCTCATGAATTTTCCAATTGAATTTTGTTTAATTTATACATGTAATTCATGTTTAGGTTCTTATTTTTGCAAAGCAGTATGTTTGAAATAAGCACACCAAGATATTGACACAGCAACATTTGGGGGCAAAGGAAAACTGTTTCTATGTTAAAACTAATACAATGTTATCTGGATAATTACTGAGGAAGACAATATACTTTGCCTTTTTAAAACACAATTTACATAACAAATAGAAAAGCTGGAAATTTTAAAACTTTCTTTGAATGTTCAATTTTCTCTGTTGTCATATCTCACTTTCTGCCATTGTTTGCTGTAGGAGGGGACCCTATTGTCAGTTAAAGGATAGGTTCACAATGTCTTTAAATTTATCTTAAAGCAATTTATTTGCCCATATTATATAAACAGGTTTTGCTCGTTGTAATCATTCCTCTTATTTATACTGACCAGTAAGACATTCCTTCCCGAAGTGCTTTCAGTACAAGTGATGGGGAACAAAATTGTCAGTCAGTTTTCTATGTAAAAATGCACTGTGGCATTAAACTAAAGAAAAACAGACTTCAGTAGTCTGAATTAATCAAATGAACTAGTAGTCTTCAAAAGTCAGTTTGTTTAATCCCAAAATTCATTTTTGTGTTCCTCAAGACTGGGTTTCTGCCAGCCACTCCTCCATGCAGACTAGATATATATGGTGTGCTGTCCTTCTGACATGACATCCAACTGCAGCAATAATTTAGCTGGATGACCATCACTCAATAGTGCCATATCATTTCTTAATGAATGGAAGAAAACCAGGAAATAACAAAAACTGAATGCTGAGACTGAATGGGACATAGGAGAGGTATAAAAAAAAAAAAAAAAAACCTTAAAATTGTGCCTTAGCTACAGCCTTTAGCATTCAGGTAACAAAAGATTTGGATACAGAACTAGTACTCACATGACCATATTGTCTAAAGGATGTTACAGAGCAGTTTCAATTAGAATTTTCCATTCAAATTATTGCATGACACCCTCTTGCGACTCCAAGCAACTTTTTGTGCAACAAATGGTCACCTTTTTCTCAAAGAGGTTTGGTGACACCGATTAATTGTTCTGTTTTATTAGGTTAGATTTATGCCATGATAATAACTTGTGAGATATTGAACTTCAATATTCTACAGAGGGATGTGGACATCCCTAAAGACACCAGGTCTTTTCCTCTTACCATGTGAAGCTCCCCAATGTAGTACTGCTGGAGCATCTCCCTGGCATCTGTGGAATGACCCACATCCTCAAAGCTTTCTGTGGCGTCTGCACCAGCCTGCTCCAGCAAAACCTCCTCACCTCCTGGATGCTGGAATCATAGAGTGGGGTTAACGCAATGTTGAGCTAGCTGATTTCCCCCGCACTCAGAATGTGATACAGTTCATTTCTATGCTTAAATTGAAGAAGCAATGAAATCTCTACCCTTGAAATCACAGGCAAGTTAGTGAAAAGTACCACTACAGTCTTTCATTGGCTTAAAGTACCAAAGCATATTTACTCAAGTATTGTACATGACATTTTTTTGGGGTATTTCACAGTCCTTGAGCATTTCCCTGGTATTCTTCTTCATACGCATTTTAGGGGGGAACATTATTCTGCTTTTCTCTTTCCGTTTTACTTTGCAGATGGGATTTTACATGCAAAACATTTGACCAGCTTCTGAAAATACAATGTATTCTTATAAGTTAAACAACTCAATTGTGTATACAGCAGTTAACATTAGCTCCGCTACAAGAAGCTACAGCATTAAAATGCACATGTTAAACAACATGTTAAAACGATCTAAAATATCAATCCAATTATATTATGTTATGTTTTTTGGACCCTGAGAAGGGCAGTTCTTTAAATAACTTACACTTTGATTTATAATACGTCCGTAAACTGTTAAAGTTGCGAATGCAGAATTTCTATTTGTAATGGAAATACTGTTTTGTTTTAACAAAGTGGTACTAATTTATGTAATGGATCAGAGTACTTCTTTCAGCACTGGTGTTTTCAAAGTTGCTTATATAGCCTACTGCTGCTAATATTAGAGTTGTATTAGCTAGGTTAAACATATGGACCAGGATCACCAACATGCAACTTTTACAGTTAGTTTAAGTTACCGGTAGTAGCTACAATTAATGCTAGATTGACAACAATGTTGCTGTTAAGGCTACTATTATGAAAACGGTGGGCAACAGCTAACTTATTAGCCAACGTTGGCTATTATAACTATTAGCTAACCGTTCACGATAACTAAAAATTAAAGTGACTAGAAGTTTTAGCCAAATGTTGCTTGACGTATCCTGTTTTCATCCTGAGGTAACTTCAGTTCGTGACTTTATACCGATTTGGTTTAATGTGGGACAGTGACAGCTTGAAGGAAGACAGTCAGCAAGGACATAAATACATAACGCTAACAATACGTTTCGTAAGTCCAGGAAGTAGTCTTGGCCCGAAATGAGGTAACCAAAAGCTTAGACGTAACGTTGCCTCCAGCTGAAAGAAAGTGTTTCTTACCTCTTCAAGGAAACTTGTGATGTCGTATACTTTATCGTTGATGATGAGCCATGTGTCATTGCTCATATTGTGCAATCTTATTTCTTCTAACGTGTAATATTTTTCATCACTTCCTACTGTATCGCCATTTTCCTCGCCGTTGGTCTTATTAGCAGATCCATTGTCTGTATTAATGAGGTTGTCGTTAATTTCTTCACCCATTCTAACGTTAATGTGAGTAACTATATCGACTGAGCAGCTAGCTAACGTTAGCTTCTGTGAGCCAGGTATGGATGGATGTAACGCTAGCTACGTCTAGATCAGTTTCCACTCTGTTTGAATAAAACTAGCAGTGCTCAGAAAACTCCAAATTACACTACAGAAAAGGGACGTTATAAAAAGTGCTCAAATGCTAAACACTGCTGTGTTACGAAATACAAAACGGCCTAACCCGGCACATCAGCAGACATGTGAAACAGACCAATGACATGCGTGTTATTTTAGCATAAAGCTGAAACACGACAACTGACCAATGAAAATGTGACTACCAGCATGGTGACCAATCAGGGTCTACCACTTGATGATCATGAGACGGTGGATTTTGCAAAGGTTGTCAACTGTGCGCTGTAAATGCGCATATGAGCTTTTTCAATGTTTGTTGAATGGTTAAAATGCACGACAATAATTAACCAGTTTCAATTGCCAAGACCAATTGTCAAAACGAGAGTGGAAAATGATCTGGACCGATTTGCATCAAACTTGGTGGAGGAATGGGGCATGGGCCAGGGAACAGCCCATTTAATTTCTAGTCACTTTCTCAGGTTCTCAGGAAATAACGCATGGAACTTGATGTAAAGAATCAAACATATTTATGGTTTTGAGATCTACGAGTTAGTGCAATTTGGTCCATATCCAGATAATAATCCGGATCTGGTGGAAGAAAATGTAGGATTGTTTGGCATTGGTGAAAGTAGTTTGGCAATGGACTGGCAAATTATATTGCTGGCTTGCAATAACTCATGGCTGGGTACATAATGTAAAACTGTATGTTGTATAAATTTTGTATACATCACATTAGGAAGTTTTGATGTGCCTCTTCCTGTGCTGATATGGGGGGCCTGTGAACCATATGTTTTCTACTGATAGGTGAGGTTACCATCCACAAGATGATAGTGGCAGATAAGTAAGTCAATGATTCACAAAATACTTCACATGTAAAGTCTGGATTTCCTCCCCTGCCACAAACTGGTATACATACATTTGGCAAAGTGTTTTAAGAGACTTGTCTCAGGAGACACTCAAAAAAGTATACTTATTCAGTAAGCAGCATAACTTTTGGTCCAAGTATATCTACTTATGCAACAGAAGCAAAAACACTGTGCTGTATAGGGTTTAAACCCTGTCACCAACCCCACCTCCACCCCAACAGAGTATTTGAGTACCTCTGTACACCATGCTAAAGTCTGAACGTAATTTGCCTCACTAACCTCTTATATGACACCATAAACTACTGTACTAGTAGTAGCCTACAACCTTCAAGGATAAATAAGATCCAAATAAACATGTATATATTTATATATCACTGGCTGTGGTATTGATTCCTATCCTTTTGTTGGGAAGAAAAAACCATTGGGCACCATTTTAAGAGGATTAACTGAAAAGTCGTTGCCTCTAATACAATAGATGGAGTACTGATTAAGTGTTAACAATTTCAGTCAGTAAGTTTAACTCATTAAGATATCTAGATTGTGTTTTGTAGTGATTATGTAAAGACTTTCACTAAAGTGCTTTAACTTGATGTGACCATCATAATGTGTAATCTAAAATGTCCCCCTACCTTTTTGTGTTTATTTTTCACTTTTAATCTGTTTGAAACTCACAGTACTTTGCAGAAACATAAGGCAGAGATGCCACACATTCTTCAGTTTTCTGAGGCAGTTGGTATGTTTTCTTGGCGATTTTAAATTCCAAGACCAAGATGTGATGTCCTTTTTCTGTTTCAGCAACAAGTTCTTTAAATTAATAATTTATTGTTTTACTGTCCAATTTTATCTTTTTAAAAAAAAGAAAGAAAAAAAAGTAACACCAGGCATTTCTTATCTCACTTGTTGACATAACTGGAATCTCTTTATTGTGAATGAAAGGTTTCTAATCATCATCTACTTTCACACACACACACACACACGCACGCACGCACGCACGCACACACACACACACACGCACGCAGAAGAAAAATCAAATCAATCAAATCAAACACTTAATGTTCTATATCAAAACCATTTAAATGGGCGTAGCCTATTATAACCTTTTATCTTTTGACAGAGGTAAGGTATTAGATATATTATTAGATATATTTTTTTTACTCTTACTGTAGTTTTTCTTCCTTTTACAATGAATGTTTCAATCATTCAGTGCACTTTAGCTTACTAAAACACATTTTCGTTCGTATTCATAGTTCACATTTAAACGTGACCTGGTTTATTTATTCTGTGTGGCAGTAGGAGTCTCATGCATACATTCTGTGTTTTTGTCAGTCCTCGCCTTCTGTTGAGTCAATCCGTTTAAATAAAGTTTGGATTTTTTCTGCAACTCCTTGGAATTGTGGGATTGCAATGGCTGCCGTCTTGCCTGTAAACATACGCGTCGTGTTTACGAAAGCGGTAGTTTAAATATTTTGCAGTGACAGTCGTAGGTCCCCAGTTTTATGATCCGATTAAAAGGCCATTAGCTGACCTAAAATCTTTAACTTAATTTGCGAGTTTCTGCATTTTAGACCCAAAGAAAACGCGGTAGGTCCTACAGTCCCCAGCTGGCCTCGGCTCAGCTAACGCTAGCTGCTCTATCTGAGGTACGTAATTGTTTCAGTGTGATTTAATTTGATTATTATGATACGGGGAAAATATAATAATTTCACTTACATGTTCTTCATTGACTCGTGGTTAATTGCCCTCACGTTTGCTCCTCTGAAACATGTCAGTAACAAACTAACTACTGCGGAACATCAAACTGTTCAACATTATTGTTGACGTATAATAAGAGATAGGAGAGCTACTATAAAACCTAGTCCTATTTGTGATCTTGGAGTAATGCACAACTGGGGATATTCTTGGCCAGAAATATGCTGATTGTCTGCATTTTGTTTTTTTGGGTTGTTTCTGTGTTAATCAATAGATTATATTACGTTGCGCCTTTGAACTGAAAGTAATTGTTCTGATGGTAAATAAGACAAAAACCATGAAACCATACTTATTCAAGTGGTTTATTACGAAATGGTAGTGATATATTTCTTGTTCCAGTATCTCATCTAATTAATTTTTTAAAAGGAAATTCTAAAATTTCACTGGCTCCAAGTTCTCAAATGTGAGTGTTTGCTGATTTTCTTAGTCATCTATGAGAGTAAACTGAATATCTTTAGGTTTTGGACTGCTGGTTGAACGAAATAAGCATTTTGAAAAAGCCACTTTTGACTCTGGAAACTTGTGATAGGCATTTGACACTATTATATAGCTATATTTATATAAATGATATCTTTTAGATTAGTAGTAGTAAATTAGATTAGTAGTAAATGATTTATCTAAAATAATATCACAGATTTATTGTTAATGAAAATAATCAAGCTGAAGCTTCTGAGAAACAATATCTGGGAAGTTAAGCTTCACATGGATTGTCAGAAACAACGGTTTAGTAGCACTACACATTTTCACCTCTTCTACATGTCATTATTTCCCTACAGATAATGGATGATGATGTGTCTATGCACAGGCTGGAAGGGACTGATCCAGCTGCTCAAGTTGGTGGTCTTATTGTAAAGAAGAAGAGTGCTGCTGTAGAGCCCCATGTTTTCCGGGCACCCACTCCACGCACATCTTTGCTGGGGTTAGATCTGCTGGCTGCCCAGAAAAGGAAAGAGCGTGAGAGTAAGGAGCAAGCAGATGCTAGTGGTGAAGACAAAAATAGAAAGAAGTCAAAGGTTTCCTCCTACAAGGACTGGGAGGAAGGTAAAAGTGACTCCGGGTCTGATGATGAAGACAGTGATAAGAACAAAGGTGCTAAGAAGGAGAGGTAAGTGTCACTGCTTCATAACAATATTTTGTTGAAAATTGTGGATAATGTATAATCAGATAGACAACACCCATCCCTCATGTCTCTGTGTTCAATGTTATGTGTTCAATATTAAATAAACCAGACATTATGAGATTAAAAAAAACATGCATTTAAAAATATACATGAATAAATAAACAAACAAAATATTTGTTATTTGTATATTTTATTCCATAATGTCACGCTGCCAAAATTTTGAGATGAAAAGTGAAGAAATGAAACGGTAATTGTGGAAAAAAAAATCTCATTTGTAATTTCGTAGTGTTTTATTTACTGGACCTCCCAGTTTTTTATCCTGCAAAATCCTCTTATAGAAAAAGGCCAGTTTACCATAGCAATGCAATCCAATACAAAATCAGGACTGTCGCTGAGTCATTGCAAAACATAATACCCTTTCTCTTTTAGTGTTTATGTATTTTTGCTGGAATATTCTTTGTTCCCCTTTTACTCATTTATTATTTTAGCAGCTGTAGTAGCATACTAATATGTAAGGTATGACTAATGTTTAATATTTCATTTTTGTCTTGGCAGCAGGAAGTATCGTGTGACTGGCTCTGAGACACCCTCAAACCCTGGGGGGGTCAGTGAAGAGTTCAGACGCAGACACCAGCAGAGAGAGAAAGACAGACGTGAGCATGGAGTCTACGCCTCCTCCAAAGAGGACAAGAACAGAGAAAAAGACAGAGAAAGGAGCAGAGATAAGGGCAGAGACCGAAGAAGTGAAAGAGGTGATTCTAAAGATGCGCAGTCATGTAGCAGTAATTGCATTTTAATGTGATTAGACTTTTGGTCATGGTCCAGCATCATTTATGAAGTTAAGATTCCAAACTTGTAAAATGAATGCATTTTGTTTTTGGACACATGTTACAACAATATGAAATTAAATATTGATGATGCTTCATTATTTTCCTTTTTTTTTTTTTTACCTTTATTTATTAAGTGTTGTTTATTTTTTAATTTTTTTAATTTAACTTAATTAGTAGATCAGTCAATAATGAAAGCAAATATTAACTCTGTTCAGCAGTCAGAGTTGCTGAGAGTAACTGTCCCTTGTCTCTGTCTGTCAGATGAGCGAGAGAGTAGTCACAGTCGTGGCAGCAGCAGCAGCCGGTCGGAGCGCGGGGAGCGCAGTGAGAGGAGTGAGCGGTCACAGAGAGATGGCTGGTCTGATCGCATCAGCCGGGGTAGTAAGAGAGATGAACCCGCGACACCACAGCATCGCCCAAGAGGTATTGTTGTTTATTATTTATTTTATTTATTACTTATTATTGTACCATTGTAATGATCTTACACAGCATCTTTAGTTAAATTGTTTGACTAAGCTGTCTTAATTTTAAACAGATGCTTTCACACCCTCACGCTCCAACTGGGATGAGGATGACAGTG